CACTCGGAACTCAGCACTCAACACTTGGGACTCATTCACCCTGTATCTTGTATTGTGCACATATCTCACTCAAATCATATCTATTTAAGACTATCTAAACTCTGATGAACCCCTGAAATCTAGGGCTATCTGCATGTCAATGCCCGAAAGCATTGAGACCCGACATCAAAAACATCAAAACAGCACTCGGTAGTCAGTATATAGTATTTTGCATATATCTCACTCAAATTATATCTGTTTGAGACAATCTAAATTCTGCCACACCCCTGAGAGCGAGGGCCATCTGCATGTCAATGCCCGAAAGCCTCGAACTTCTGATGCCAAAATTCACCCGGTATATAGTATTTTGCTCATACAGTGGCTCAAAAAACTGTCCGCATGTTTTGACATTTTTCACTATCTATGATATTGTGTGAGAATGAACAAATTCCTCAAGGACATACTTATACCACATTGTAGTATGGCTTCAGGGCTTTTATTTGAGCCCTACACCGTGGGAATCGGCGGAGATATGGTGGAGATATAAGGCTTATAAAATGATGACTCATGTGGACAGTTTTTTGAGTGTATATTAAAACTATATAAATCATTATTTATGACACCATAAAAATCATGCCACTATTATATAAATTATAAAGTGGTGTCATTATGTTATTTTATGACTATATCTAACTATATAAACCAGAATATCTCATGTATCATAGTCATAATCACCATGAAAGCCATCTCCTCTGCTCAAAGAGATAATATCCTCTCTCTGTCTTATGCTGGCCTCTCTGCTCGCCAAATTTCCTCTAGAACTGGAATATGCAAGTCCACTGTGGCCAAGTTCATCAAAGAAAGCCACCCAGACAAGGAAAACTCTTGTGGAGGACGTCCATCCAAGCTTACCTCTACTGACAAAAGGGCTATTATCCAACATATCACTACAGGAAAGGCTGATAATGCTGTCCAAGCCACCCATTATATCAATTCCACCATCACTACCCCTTTCTCTTCACAAACTGTGAGGAATGTTCTCAAGGCAGCTCATCTCAAGGCAGTAACAAAGAAGAAAAAGCCTCTTCTCTCCATCAAACATAGGCAGAGAAGACTAGCCTTTGCCTTAGCTCATCAACACTGGACTGTAGAGGACTGGAAGCATGTTATATGGTCAGATGAGACCAAAATCAATAGGATTGGGTCAGATGGGAAGGTGTATGTATGGAAAAAGAAGGGAGATGGCCTAACAGACAGAGAGGTTAATGGGACTGTCAAGTTTGGAGGAGGTTCTTTAATGGTATGGGGCTGTATGGGATGGAATGGTGTGGGAATGCTTGCTGAGGTTGAGGGGAAGATGAATGCTGAGCAGTATGTGGACATTTTAAATGACCACTTGCTGCCTAGCTTGGCAGAATCAGGGATTGATGAAGAAGATATCATTTTCCAACAGGATAATGATCCCAAGCACACATCCAGAAGAGCTAGGGAATGGTTTGAAGAACATAACATCAATGTTCTTGACTGGCCAGCACAGTCTCCTGATGTCAATGTCATTGAACATCTCTGGGGAACACTCAAGAAAAAGCTTCAAGCCTATGAAAACCCCCCTAAAGGAGTATGGGAGCTTTGGGAGAGAGTAGCAGTGGAATGGGGGAAGATCACAGCTGAGGATTGCCAGAAATTAATTGAGAGTATGCCTAGAAGGATAGAGGCAGTAATTAAAGCCAAGGGAGGTCATACAAAATACTAGAATACCTGGTTATTACTGTAAAATACTTGAGTCAAAAAACTGTCCGCATGAGTCACCATTTTGTGAGCCTTGTATCTCCACCAATATCTCCACCGATTCCCACGGTGTAGGGCTCAAATGAAAGCCCTGAAGCCATACTACAATGTGGTATAAGCATGTTTTTGAGGCATTTGTTTGTTCTCACACAATATTATAGATAGTGAAAAATGCCAAAACATATGGACGGTTTTTTGAGCCACTGTATCTCACTCAAATCACATCTGTTTGAGATGATCTAAATTCTGACGGGCCCCTGAGAGCGAGGGCTATCTGGGTGTTAATACCCGAAAGCATTGGGGCACTTGGCACTTGGAACTCGGAACTCGGAACTTGGAACTTGGAACTCAACACTTAGTGCTCAGCACTCGGTAGTCAGTATATTGTATTTTGCACCTTTCCTGAGCTCATGCCCTTAATTTCAGAATGAAGTCCAGATGAAATCCAATGAAGTCCGAAGGACTTCCGGATGAGCATAGGAACCTTCTGGAGGAGTATAGGAACTTCTAGAGAAGTACAGGAAACTCTGGAGAAGTTTCACCCGCTGCATAGGGTCCGAAGATAAGACTTTGAAGGTAAGCTTCCTAGATGGAAGCACATGGAGGAGAGACTGCAAGGGACAGAGTCCAAAGCAGGATCAGATAGGAGGAGTGGTCCAGAGGACAGGACGTCTGAAGGTTGCGACATCTGAATGTTCAGATGTCCAAAGGTTAAGATGTCCAAAGGTTATGATGTCTGAAGGTCATGATGTCCAAAGGTTACAATGTCCAAAGGTTTTGATATCCAAAGGGTAAGATGTCCGGAGATCCAAAGGTCCAGAGATCCAAAGGTCCGGAGGTCAACAGGAGTGGACAGGATTATAGGACAGGAGAATAAAGGCTACCATGCACAAGGTCTGGAGTAGAAGCAAACAGAGGTAGGCTACACTTAGGTGGAGTCGGAGATAACAGGAAGTAGACATAAGTCTTGGAAAGACAGGAAGTGCCAGAAAGGCAAAGGTCCGGCTTAAGGAATCAATCCTTAAGCTTGGATAGAGACGGAAGGACAAATCCGAAGGGTCGGAAGTCCAGCCTAAGGAATCCTTCAGGTTGGACTCGGATCTCGGTACACTCCACTTGATTTTTGATATCCAGGACTCCATAGTCAGAACTTGAGTCTCAAATCTCGGGTGTCAGGTGTCGGGTCTCGATGGTCGGGACTCGATATTTGGGACTCATTGGTCAGGACTCGATACTCGATTGTTGGGATTCGATGGTCGGGCATTGGGTTTCAGGACTCAAATCTTGGGCTTCGGGACTCGGGTTTAAAGACTCGGTAGTCGGGACTCAATGGTCGATTGTCGGGATTCGATAGTCAGGGCTCGGATATTGGTACACTTCACTTGATTTTCGGTAGTTGGAACTTGGCATTTGGCATTCGGTAGGCTTGGATGATGTTGGCTTTCAAAGATCTATTATCATCCATTGCTCAATGAAATACCAGACGATCGGAAGTGTGCTGGACATCACATATTTGTTTGTTGAGACCCGGGTCTCGGAACTCGGTACACTTCACTCGAGTTTCCACTTCACCCCTTTGCAAAGCTCCGTGCCATACTACATCATTAGATGACTTTGAATTATTACCCTCCTTTGATTTGGATGATATACAACTAGCTGAGCTCCATCATGTCTACAATTATCATTCTCCTGGGCCCACCCGTTTATATTATATACCCCTACGTCGGCCTACCTGTCTATGCAATATATGTCTACCATTGGCTCACCCATATATAATAAATTCATTTCACCGTTCCCTCGGCCCACCCGTCTACAAAATAATATTAATTCATCGGCCCACCTGTCTAATATGATATATATCTGGGCCCACCTGTCTATGTGATAACAAGCACCCTTGATATACCCGGCTATTTGATACATATCTACCTTGGTACACCCATCTACATAATATCCAACTACCTCGGCCGATCCGTCTATTGAAAATTCATGTCCATCAGCCCACCCATCTACTTTACATATTCCCCCACCTGGGCCCACCCGTCTCCATCGGGAATAATAATACTCCTGGCCCATCTGTCACAGTTGAGGGATATATCTACCTTCGGCCCATGGTCCGCTGGCCGTATCATACGGGGTATTATGCACGTCCGTTCACTCGTATAATACAGAGATATGTTACTGCAATATGTGATGTGCACCCTACAAATGATGTGCACTTGTTTTTACTGGTTTCTCAGCAAGTTTGAAACTGGTAAGTACAGGTCCTGGGATATTATGAAGTCACCACTTACAGGATGCCAATAGGATTGAAGGATTGATGTATCACACCATCATCCTTATGAACGAGATGCGTGAACATTGTTTTATTCGTTCGCTTCATTCTCGACCAGCACTTGCTTCTGAAAACATCAAATCACTTTGCCTGTGTGGTACAGTGCAGCTTGCTACAGCGGCAAAGGACACGCAGCTTTGCAGTGGCATTGGCAGCCTTGCCTTCTGGATTCTTCTAGAGGGACATAACCATGTTGTGCCAGATGTCCTATTGGAGGCCTTGAATGGGATTATCGCAGTTGTCAATTCAGTTATCAACAGTCTTCTGCAGAACAGCCAGGCTATTTCTGCCATCCATCCCTATGTTCTGCAAAATCACTCATCTCGAATTGTTGGAAGGTTGGGTACTTTTGGGTTCTCCAATCAGCATACCTTGCCTAACTCAGCTTACACATATTTCCCTATGTGTCTTCACTGACTGGACAGCGCCAGCCTTGGTCCGAATGGTTCTTTCAGATTGTGTTCTCCTGCAGGTATTGGTTTTGCATGTGACGGAGGATGTTAGCAGGGTAGAGAGATGGCTGCAGGAGCATGAAGGCCTTAATGATCCTCGTATTGTTATTGTTATGACTGCCAAGAGCACTCGTGGTAACTGGGATCAAGTAGCGAGTGATGGGATGAGCCTGTGGCAGTATGGAGATTATATCATGGTATGCCAAAACACTACACAAATATGTACTATAGACTAGGCAGTGAAATTAGTGATGAACTTGGAATCTGGTGCTCATGTGGCATGCAACTACTGGGGAGAGGAACCAAGATGGCTCTCTAATATGGCTCCTCACGCTCACTGGTGAAGCAGAGTTGTCATAGCAATACCACATTCTTGATGGTAAGCTTCTGATCAGCAGGATTAGGCTTTGTCACCTTGAGAAAGGTATTGGAGTGCAGGTGCAGGTGCAGGTGCAGGTGCGTTTGTCTTGCCATTTGCACCAACTGTCATCCATGCCCACCACTAGGGCCCTGTGCACTAGAAACCACCTGTACAGTGTTCCAAGGGAATCAACAAGCAATCTCGCATTGTGGACATTTTTGTCACACACCTTGAAAGTGGTCTCTGCATATCTGTGCCTTGCAACCATCACCGCTATCAAATCCTTCAGTCCCATCTTCTTCCGGTGCTCCTCTTCCTCCTGGATCTCCTTCATCATCTTCTTGGCAGGTACCATACTCGTTGACATCCACACCAGAGCACTCACTGTAGGTGTTGCTGCAGCTTCTTCACCTCTTGGTGTCACAGAAACTTGTGCACCCGTTTGAGAGGTTGGAAGTCCCCACGATGCGGTAAATGTATGGTGCCGGTGCCTGTGTACTGCAAGTAATAAGTGTCAGAATAAAAAATAGGAAGAAAAAGTGACGTGCCAGTAGATACCACAGGTGTACGAAAAGATGGTGGTGTGTGCTGGATGCAAGAAAGGCCCAATGAGTGAATGGGAATATTTGCAGCTTCAGTAATGGTAAGGATAATTATCCAACCCTGTTTGATTGATCCTTTAAATTCCTCTGATGCAGTGGCTTAATCGAGCTCACCTCAAGGTCCAGAGATATTGACTCATGCTCATGCTTGCCACAATCTGTGCTGCAAGAATGTGTGACTTGAATATATTTTCTGAACTCAGCATAGCTATTGATTGGCAAGCAAATCACTCACCTTTATTGTCTCTACATCATGAGTTCTTGTTTTTCTTCCCTGCTCCCTCAGATGATGAATGATCGACCATACTGAGATAATTGAGCTTTCAATTGAACTCTGAGTACCCTCATAGTATAATTATGGAATCGAGTCTCAACTGACTAAGGAAATTTCCGACAGGAGTTTCGGCAATTCCAGTTAGTCAGCATCGTAGGTGCCCTGTTACCCTTCTGAAATACATCAGCTCCCCAAAGCTTGCAACTCCTCCCAAAGTATTCCTAAGCCGAGTAAATCTAGTAAGTCTGTTTATACAACTCAGTTGCGGTCTTATCTTACATTTTGCCCATATCGACCTCCCTCATCATTACTTGTCATCACCTTGTGTAGCCTACTCAAACCTTCAGGCGTCTTGACCTCAGACGGCTTGTCCACAAAAGGCTGATCTCACGCTGATCCTCTTTTGCTTGATGATTGCAAATGTTCACTCTCGCTGGACTCTGAGGACACCGAAGACAAGCTTGAAGAGCTTCACAAAAGGTTTGTTGGTGAAATTGACCTACCTCAAAGTCAGTGGCCTAACTTCATTTGTGAACTCATCTTCAACTTAACTTTCACTTCAGGCAAAGAACCATTGCTCAAAGGCGCCATTTCGTTCTTTTCCCCATTCAATACCATCAGGTTTGTTACAGTCTATTGTCCTGTTAACTTTGTCTAATGTACAAGAAAGCCGAGGCATCATTCTGGACTGCTGAGGAGATGGACCTCTCTGTGACTGGACTGACCATCTTAATGACAATGAACATCACTTTGTTTCACATGTCCTCACCTTCTTCACTGGATCTGACAGCATTGTCAATGAAAATATTATTGAGCGTTTCTCCAATGAGGTCCAGGCTGCTGAGGCCCAGTGCTTCTATGGCTTCCATTCACTCGGAGACTTACTCCCTTCTCATCAGCATCTACATCAAGGATTCTGCACAGTACAAATATTTTCTTCTCGGATTCTTTTGCATCAATCTTCTGGCTCAAGAGGCATGGTCTCATGCCTGGTCTTACGTTCTCCAATGGGCTCATCAGCCATGATGAAGGTATGCACACTGATTTTACTTACTTGCTCTTTAGCCACCTCAAGTGTCGTCCGCACCCTGATACTGTCAAGTGTATCATTACTCAGGCTGTCATCATCGAGCAGGAATTCTTGACTGGTTCATCATTACCTTCACTTTGTCTAACTTATGCTGACTGTCTCTCCAGATGCTCTCCCTGTCAGCCTCATGGGCATGAATGCTAAGCTCATGTGCCAGTACATCGAGTTCATTGCAGACCACTTGTTGGTGTCACTAGGCAACGACAAGGTGTACAATGCCACAAACCCATTCAATTTCATGGACATGATCTCACTACAGGGCAAGACCAACTTCTTTGAAAAGCATGTGTTGGACTACTCAAAGGCGAACATCAGCCATACAAATGCTAAGACCAATCAGGTGTCAAGTAAGACTTTGTGAGTTTAACTATCTTTCTGGTAGACCTTGTCTGACAATGTTTCATCCTGTTCTCTTGTTTGCATATATTACACTTATCCCATGCACTATACCATACACAATCAATCATTCTTAGTGTATCTTAATCATCCATGGCTTGTGATTTGGTACTGTGAGTGCATCACAACCGACTTACAGCAATGCCCCTGCAAATGCTGCTTGTACATGCCCTAACAGTCTCTCCACTGTGACTGAAATTGGTGATATCACCCAGACAGACAACAAGGAGACTGACATCAGCAACAGCCCCTGCCTCCCTCCCAATAAAGGTACCATGCCATTATCAAAGGCGAAAAGATTGGGTCACATTGGTATAACCCATCCTGAAACTTTTGATGCGACTTGCATGGCTGTGCATTAATCTTAACCCGACCTTTTCCATCACTGCTCTATCTTCCTGTATGTTACAAGTACCATTTAGCGTGTTTGCATTTTGCATGTCCAGCAATTTTGCTATTGTTTTTGTTCATTTGTATCTTACTACCTACTGTACAAGGTCCCTGCCAATGAAGTCCAGCCCTTTTCTAGTAGACATTGGAAAAAAGGAAGCATAAAATAGGGTTAGGGTCCATCCCAGGACAGGTCATGTGATCACTTTCTTCACTTTCACATCGTCCAATTCTAGTTCATTTCCTATTTATCTGATCCAGTTTAATCCCTTCCAAAGGCTCCGAGCCCATTCAGTCACATTGCATGTATTATACATGCAGCAAATGTTGAAAATATGCTGTTCCACACAGGCCAGCGGACGTCAGCCAACTGAGTATCTATGTCTGTGTTTAACATTCGGCCAGTGGGCTCATGGAGTGATGGTTTTAACAGCTGGGCCCATGCATTGGGATGCTCGACATTAACATGTCAGCCGAGGGCCAGTAAAATTGGTGGTGAGATATTGTAAGCTGGGCCCACACACTATAGCTACTGTGTGTAGCAATTGGCTGATGACGGGGGTGAAGCATATATGTTCCTGTGCAGATTGGTCTGGAAATTGTGGGTATGATGCCATCATATGGGCCAATTGGAATAAACAGCCAACACCATCATATGGGCTGAGAGACATGAATACCTGTTTATGTTCTCAGCCAATGTGATTGCATCAGATATGCAGTTTTGTCGGCCCATACATTCACATCAGTTTCATCGGCCAATCTGATAGCATCAGGTATTCAATATTCTCGGCCCATGTGATAACATCAGGCAGTTACATCGACCGACCTGATGGAATCAGGCATTCATTTCGGTTGGCCCATAAGATAACATCAGGTATTCAGTTTTGTCGGCCCATACATTTTCATCAGTGCCATCAGCCGACCTGATGGCATCAGGCATTCAGTTTCGTCAGCCCATATGTTTTCATCAGTACCATCTGCCAACTTGATGATATCAGGAATTCATTTCCATCGGCCCATACAATAATATCAGGCATTTAGTATATTTGGCTGACATGATAGTATCAGGTCTATTGGCCGACATGATGGCATCAGGAATTTGTTTTGTCGGCCCATATGATAATATCAGGCATCCAGTATATTCGGCTGACATGATGGTATCAGGTCTTTCGGCCGACATGAGGGCATCATGTATGTATTTCCTTGTAAATAGCTGACACCATCATGTTGGCCAATGGTACTGATGCAAACTTATGGGCCGATGAAACTGAATACATGACATTGTCATATGGGCCGACAGAAAGGTATACCTGATGCCATCAGGTCAGCCGATGAAACTGCATACCTGATGTTATCATATGGGCTGAGAATACTGAATACCTGATGCTATCAGGTCGGCTGACAGAAGTGATGTTAATGGGCCAATATGTAACTGAATACATGATGCTATAGGGTGGACCGGTCGGTCGGTTGCCGAATAAAACCATCGGTTATTATCATACTATCACTGCACTATGTAAGCCGAGACTGAAACATCTTAATCTACATCCATGTAAGTTGTGTTTGATGACTGAGGTGTCCCCACGAAATTCTGAAGGCTGTCATGGATGAACCAAGTCCTGGGCTGATAGTAATGAATTTCAATATTCTATGTTAAAATACTGGGCAGTGACATACCGGCCGAAATATAACAACCACATTCAGCTGGTCATGGGTCAGTCTGTAGCACCGGTCCATGTGATGTCACCAGTGGTCTGACTTTGTAAATTGGTCAACATTTTGTTGAGATATATGCATTTCAAGATTTGATGTTAAAATACCGGGCAGTGGAATACTGGCTGAAATAATATAGCCTCCTTCGGCCAGTCATGGGTCAGTCTGTAGCACCGGTCCATGTGATGCCACCGGTGGTCTTACATTGTAAATCGGTTGACATTTGGCTGAGATATATGCATTTCAATATTCTATGTTAAAATACTGGGCAGTGAAATACCAGCTGAAATATAACAGCCACATTCGGCCAGTCATAGGTCGGCCTGTAGCACCGGTCCATGTGATGCCACCGGCGGTCTTACATTGTAAATCGGTCGACATTTGGCTGAGATATATGCATTTCAATATTTGATGTTAAAATACAGAGCAGTGGAATACTGGCTGACATATGATGGCCACCTTCGGCCGGTCATAAATCAGCCTGTAGCACCGGTCCATGTGATGCCACCGGTGGTCTTACATTGTAAATCAGTCAACAGTTCTAACCCTAACTAACCCTAACAGGATGTATACTAACCCTAATACTAACCCTGCAGTATATGCATTTCAATATTTGATGTTAAAATACAGAGCAGTGGAATACTGGCTGAAATATGATGGCCGCCTTCGGCCGGTCATAGGTTGGTCTGTAGCATCAGTCTATGTGATGCCACCAGTGGTCTTACTTTTTAAATCAGTCAACATTTGGTTGAGGTATATGCATTTCAATATTTGATGTTAAAATACCAGGCAGTAGAATACCAGCTGAAATAATATAGCCACATTCGGCCAGTCTGAGCAAAATGATATATCAAAAAGTGTGGGAAGTAAAAGTGGGAAAATTATGAAATTCAACATATCACTGATAAGCATGTAAAACATCCTACAAGTGATATATTTATAATCGGACAACTGGAACATGTTTCTCACATACAGTCTTAGAAGATCTGAGGTATTCATCATGATCCATCAAGAATTAGAGACAGCACAATGAAAATAAAATTTACACATACCTGTTAGGGTTAGTTAGGGTTAGAACTGTTGACCGATTTACAATGTAAGACCACCGGTGGCATCACATGGACCGGTGCTACAGGCTGATTTATGACCGGCCGAAGGTGGCCATCATATGTCAGCCAGTATTCCACTGCTCTGTATTTTAACATCAAATATTGAAATGCATATATCTCAGCCAAATGTCGACCGATTTACAATGTAAGACCGCAAAGGTGGCCATAATATTTCAGCCAGTATTCCACTGCCCTGTATTTTAACATCAAATATTGAAATGCATATATCTCAGCCAAATGTTGACCAATTCACAATGTAAGACCACCGGTGGCATCACATGGACCGGTGCTACAGGCCGACTTATGAACGGCCAAAGGTGGCCATAATAGTTCAGCTGGTATTCCACTGCCTGGTATTTTAACATCAAATATTGAAATGCATATACCTCAGCCAAATGCTGACCGATGTACAATGTATGACCACCGGTGGCATCACATGGACCAGTGCTACAGGCCGACCTATGACCAGCCAAAGGTGGCCATAATATTTCAGCCAGTATTCCACTGCCCAGTATTTTAACATCAAATATTGAAATGCATGTACCTCACCCAAATGTTGACCAATTTACAAAGTAAGACCACCAGTGGCATCATATGGACCGGTGCTACAGACTGACCTATGACTGGCCCAAGGTGGCCATGATATTTCAGCTGGTATTCCATTGCCCAATATTTTGACATCAAATATTGAAATGCATATACCTCAACCAAAGGTTGACCGATTTACAATGTGAGACCGCCAGTGGCATCACATGGACCGGTGCTACAGACCGACCTATGACCAGCCGAAGGTGGCTGTTATATTTCAGCCGGTATTTCATTGTATATATTGGTACCACTGCCCACTTGGCCGACCTGTTTATATCGGGCACATATTTCATACACTACCCACCACACAATACCTACAAAATGCAATAGGAAAGTGTACACTTATCTACTATACCACACTATGGGCCCACTGTTGGTATCACATACACACTTGACATAGGGGTGTCGGCCCATCTGTATATATCAGTACCACTGCCCACTCAGCCGACCTGTTCATATCAGGCATATATTTCATACACTACCCACCACACAATACCTACCAAATGCAATAGGAAAGTGTACACTTATCTACTATACCACATACTATGGGCCCACTGTTGGTATCACATACATACTTGGCATGGGCCCACCTGTATGTATCACAACAATACATTGATGGGCCCACATTGGCTGGCATGTGTAGAACATGGATATTTCAACATTAGTTGTATGTATTTATCAAGGGTAAAGTGACTGCAGTATATGAGGCTCCTGCCTGCATATGATGGCCTGGAACTCCGGTTGGACTTGAACTTGGTCTCTAACTGCTTAGTGTTAATCCTAGCTTGTTCCTCATTTTCATTTCCTTTCCCTGACTCAGATTTTGGCCTTTCCTCTGTTCTTAACTCGCCACGAAAGTGAAATCATTCTTTGACCATGGACAACTGTTCTCTGGCTGGAGGCACTTGGCCTTATCAATGCACTCAGCGGTGCTGTCCCCACCCTTCCACTAGACATGCAGAGATTTATCCAACTCTTTGGTGGCCTCATCTTGCCCCTCATGCCACATCTTTATGAATCAGTGTTGCCGTTATCGCCCATCAATTGTATGCTAATTCTATGTTTTATTCTAGGTTAATTTTAACTTATGCACCTGGGAGGTGCTGGCAGTGCTGTAGGTCAGTGCACTGGCACCTATGATCTGGTGTATATACATGCTCCTTACTTCAGCACACGTCAAAGCTCAAGGTCGGCACCAGCGTGAAGCAGCCATAATGATGTTTGGCTCTATTCTAGATGGTCCTGGTCCCCCAGTTGTCACCCTCTCATCAACCAGGCGCTTCTCCCATCCCATCATCAACCCCACTCATCACTGTAAACCTCTGGCCATCTGTCCCTCCGAGCGAGCACAATAACTTTGATGAGTTTTTTCTTCTTTTTCAATCTGTGCTTCACTCCCTGGTCCAACATGCCTCTGGGAGGCAACTCTAAGTACTTAAGCCTGACAGCTTCTAACTTTTATCATATTTATTCCTACTACCTACTATGTGTACTGACTTCATTTCTTGTAGGCTTTTTATCTCATTTCCAGCCTGACTTCTAGGTGCCATTTCTTACCTGCCTTTGCATTCTCACACAACCTTTTCCCACCCACCTTCGCATTCTCACCCACCCGACTCTCCTTGCACCCTCTTCATCAGCCAGTTATGGCCCATGCAGTCCCTGCCCTTCTGCTCAGATGTACTGATTCAGTTAACTCAGTCAAGGTGATGTTGTAGATGAACATGGGTACATTGACAGTGTCAAAGTCATGAGAAAAGGAAGCAAGGCCAATGTACTTGGAAAGGCAGTTGAGTGAGTATATCCGGTGAGATAAATTTGTCCTTCATGTAATTGTCCTTGCACTGATCATCATAACAGCATGTGTTTCTGCTATTACACTCACATCTATCATCAAGGTATCCCTGGAGCAGTACCGGAGAGGCGCAAGTGAGGTTGACCCTGTAAGATCCAACCCAGCACTCACCCAACCAAGTCATGTTTCACCCTCACACAGTATGCGATTTTATCTTTCCAGGCAGAACAGCTTTTCTCATTGCACTGTCAGATGGCACGTATTTCCAAATCACACATGTGTTATCACACACTTCCTGTCTTCTAGAAAGTTGAAATGGGAGCCATACATTGTAGTGGTGAGAGGCAGGGAATGAGTCACAGAGTAAGTTCGTCGCAGAGGGTATGTATGCTTGTGCACTCTGAATGTTCTACCAGATACTAGTCTTCGAATTCCACACTTTTCACTGCATTGCAGATCTGCCAAAGAACTGTTGTCTGTTTCTCAATGGCTTCTGCAACCTTCAGGAGGACTTCAAGGGACTGTACTGAACCCCCCATGCCTTCAACTGCCCTTCCTAGCTTCCTACATTTCTGTGGTGGCACTTCAGTGGCAGGCATTGGTGCTGTGCACTATGTGTTTGTAATATCAAGTCCAAAACTCCTCTGATCCTGCATGCAACTGCAGGTAAGTATTTTGAAGCAGTGGTATTGCTGATATTGAGCTGGCACTCACAGAGTCTTGATTGGAGTTGAGTGTTTTTTGCTTTGAATGTGACAGGGGCTCATGAGCCTCTTTGCTCACAGTTCCCCCCCCCCCTGGAATCAGAACCATTAAGATGGCCATGTTCAATCTGGAGGTCACGTACATCTTGATGTTGCTCCGGTGTGAAAAACACAACCTGACTAGGCACTTGTTAAGGTACTCAGCCAGTATATGTCTAATGCTCTGCCTATGCTGCTATACTTGCAAACAATAAAGCAAGAACGTTTGACCCAAGGGAAAAGCTACTAAGGACAACTCAAGATCAAAAGACCCAAAAGAGCGCTAAAGCGTGGGAACAGCGCGTCGCAAGATAGAGCGCTAATGCACAGGAAAGAGCGGAAGTCAAGAAAGCGGACACTGAGTCAAAGGAGGGTAATGGATAGTGAGTGAGATCAAAGGTATTGATTGCAAGGGTAAGGAAAGTCAAATAGGGGCCATAGAGTGCAACTAAAGGGTGACTACTTCTAAGTAAACCTAAGGGGAAGGAAATACAGTCGAAGGGAAGTACTGTTGAAGTAATCACCATAGGCTTCTTATACTAGTAAACTATGCCATCTCGGACTTGGAAGGGATAGGATATACATGTTTTAAGACTGTAGCACTTGTTACAAACTCGAGGCAAGGCAAATTACATACCAATGAGGTAGGATGGACAATGGATAGATTCTGACATTTCAGGTAGATCCTAGAGCACGAGAACGGCATGCTGGATAAGTGCTAAGCATGGGAACAAGTGCTAGATAGAGCGGACATGCACTAATGGACCTAAAACACATTGCTGGTAATTCTGATAGCACTATAAGCACGGGAATAGCGCAGGATAAGTTGTGGGAACATGAGTAGCGCTGCAGGAATGTGCGCACATAGTTCAGGAAAGTGCGGAATAGCGTCAGACAAGGGTTATGGCTGAGACAAGTGAAGACTGCTGATAGGGGAGTAGTGAATAATATGAGGGATAACTTTGGTCCACCTAATCAAGGCTTATGCAGGTATACATGCCTAGCACCAATATGATTGTCACACCAGGTCCAAGGGAGGTTCAGGTGACTTGTAACACCCACATGTGTATGCAGGTGTGCCTTGCCCATACCCTGTGGGCCTTGGGCAAACTGCCTTATGACTTTTGGGTGTAGTGCCCCGCAAGTACACATCTATGACATATTCATCCAGGTTATCTGCTGCTCCATCATTGTTGTCAGGGTGACGGGAGGTGACACTGTCTTGATGAGGGTCAGACAACATTTTTACACTACTATGTATCCTCAAGGGTGACAATATTTAAATACTCACAAACCTATAACTAATGCCCAGACAGCCTTCCTACATGTGCCCATGGCCAGTGTTGCCTTCAATTTTCTGACTCGTGGCTAGGCCACTACAGTGCATGGAGCAGTGCCGGGGGAGAACAATGCTGGTGTGTCCCATCTGGTTCTCTGTTGCTGACTTAACTTAGTCACAGATGTATTAATGGTGCATATGGCAAGTTGCCCTGGTTCCGGGATATGGAAATTTTCAAGTTGTATCCAAAGTATTTATCCCCATTCTTTTTAGTTTTTCAATGTTTATCTACAATTTAGTTCCGAACAGCCCACTGACACGTAAATTGGCAAGATTTTATATGCGGTGTGAATCAGCATCAGATCAAACTTGAATGTGCACTGATTCCTTTATATTATGCAGGCTATAATGAAAATTTCTTGTTCCTCCACTCCACGCTTTTCAAAGTGCAAGGTCTATTTCAGACTGTCATATACCATATATCCGGTTACAGATCCGATGATCCGGATCTCAGATCCGATCCAGATCCGATGAACATATCCGTCGTCCGGTCCACAGATCCACTTTGATTCTTATTTCATTTCCTGTTCATATAACTCTAACTATCGTTCATCTCCTTTCGGTATTCCTGTACACCGGTATACCGGTTATCCTTTACTTCCGCTTTGCTTACTGATCCGCTACACTTACGAATCCGCTTTTACTTGTACTTCATTCCCGGTTCATGATTCGTGATCCATCCGACTTACCAATACGCTCCACTTAGACTTTGCTTATACTTTCGTTCATAGCCTCGCACCTTTGCTTATTGATCATTCCGTTAGCCATCTGTAGTATATAAACCTTTGTATATGCGCTGTAGTAGATCAGTTTGAATATCATCTTAGATTGCACTCATTCCGTCTGGACTCTAAGTCCCCCTGTTATCCGTCCGGACTTGAGTACGCTACTCTTGTCTACTCCGAGACTTAGGATAGATTCCTATAGTCTACATATCCGCCTCTGTCATTCGGACAGTCCTCACCCGTTAGTTTCTAGTCCGGATCCGATCCGGATTAGCCATTACTCTATATGTTCGATATCCGGAAGTCTTAACGGATCCGTTGCGATACAAGACTTATCCGTTACAATACTTATCCGTCTCACTAGACACGATACTTTAGCTCTCTGAAATAAGGGGCAAGACTCGGGAAAGGGGCACAGCGCACGAGCTGAGGCCGAAGCCCTTCGGATCTGATACTACTTGAGTACGGTCTTAACACAGACATCACAAACTCCTCTCTCAGACAATAACTTACCTGTTGATATTGCAGCTTCCTTGAAGAGACAAATTGATGTTCTTCAGGCCCAGAATGAAGAGCTCCGCAAGGAACCTTGCAAAGAGAAAAGGTGTGTCCGACCTTCAAACACATGTCCATGTTATTGATTTAACTGCAGTAACCACTACCATCTTGATGGTAGAGCGATTCAATGGCTAGTTTGTCTGACTGGTTATATTGGACAATTAGTTGCAGAACATGATCAATGTATGGTACTTGGTGCTGTCAGTGAATCCCATGCAGACAAGTTCAACTCTGAGGATCCCAAGTAAGTCATTTTCCATTGCCAGTGACTAAAGTTAACAGTTAAATTTTATTAGTGATAATAAATGGTACAGATCATTCAAGAAACTTCTTATATCATGCCCATCTGTATGTAAACCAACAAAGTTGTCGGTTAAGGACCATGACCTGGCATTTGCATACAGCCAGGTGAGACATTGCAACAAGTAGGCCTTACTTCACTAACACTATATTCTAACTGAATAAAGGAGCTGATTCAGCTAGGGCAGACGATACAACAAAACTCAAGATGCTTGTCATTTCTTGGTTATCAGAGTATACCCCACCACCAGACTCCATTCTTTACCCTTACAACAAGACTTGCTATGGTTTCTACAATGATGCAACAGGAAAGCTTCTATGTCCTGTGGATCACGACTGGAACAACTCTGAGTAAGTTTTATTTGTTGGGTGACACCTTTGTTGACCAATTTAACAGTGTTTGACAATATATTAGAGACTACCACCCTGATTATGGGGTGATGGCTTACTCTTGGCCGACATTCTTGTATGATAGACATTACAATGCTGGGAATCCTAGAGATGGCCTGTTTAAAGGGAAGTTGATATTAAAGGTATGATTTGCTGTGCAGATGATTAGCACTTTTCTGAAATGAGCTACAGACATTTAAAGCCATATTTACATCTCCCACCTCTGCAGAGCTTGATGACCCAGAGCAGACCAGTGTCATGCATGGTATGTGATCCATACCATGACATATACACAATAGCAGTGACAGGGAAGGTAGAAGACACCTGACTGATTCCTATCACCAAGTTACCTTATCATTTTTCATTCATTTCTTAGCTAGTATTTTCACTTTCAAACTTCACTCCTATTTTTTCTATGTATTTCTATTTTTGTTCCATAAGATTCTATCTCTTTCTATTTTTCTAGGCACATTTAGCCACCAGACTTTTCCTCAAGCCACCAAACATGTTAGTAATCATGTCATGTGACTGGGAAATACTCTGATTTGTAAGGATTTAACTTGACTCATCATGTTTGGTCATGATTCGTCATGCTTTGTAAAACTTGCAACTGTATTTGTAATCCACTTTGTCATAAGGCTGATTCAGCACAACTAAGGACTTGGTTTGTAAGCACATTCTTACCAATCCATGTGATGACTCATGCTTTTCATTTTTCATTCTTTGTAATACTACACTTCATTTTGTATGTACATTAGTAAACAAGCTGACTCAACACAAGTTTGTAAGCACATTCTTACCAATCTATGTGATGAATCATGCTTAGTAAGATGGCCTCCCAAAAGGTATATAAGGAGCCCATTTTCACCCATGCAATTTAAGCTTCCCACTTTAACTCTTTTCTCAAACCGTGTGAGAACCAGTAAGATCTAAGTGCAGGCTATTCAGTAGCCTTGAAGTTAAGAATAAGAAACATATATTCAAGTTATATACTACCTTATAGGGGTTGACTATATAACAAAGTACAGCTGGCAATGAATAGGTTTGGACCTGTGTGGTTCATGGGGCAGTATCCCTCCTCTGCCGTCCTCCCATCCTGCAGCCTTTTTCAAACCTGTGATTTGTGTGGTTTGCAGAGCAATGAATAGTTTTGGATCTGTGTGGTTTGTGGGGCAGTGTTGCTCTTCTGCCATCCTCCCATCTTGCCTGCAAGGGAGATGAATAGTTTTGGGTCCGTGTGGTTCATAGGCCAGTGTTCCTCTTCTGCTGTCCTCCCGAGATGGAGGCTAAAATCAAGAAGTCGCTGGTCATAGACTAGACATTTTTACTTCAATCTCTGCGTTTTCCCTCCTCTCTTTCGACTTGCACGCATGCAGCCATTGGATTGTCTCTGTTATTTTCTATGGTGCACCCTCTGATCCATACTTTCCATTCACATCTAACTGCTACCACAGTGCACTTGTCAATATCTCAAGCAGCAAAATTACCCACGAGATGGAGGCTAAAATCAAGAAGTTGCTGGTCATAGACTAGACATTCTCACTTAAATCTCTGTGTTTTCCCTCCTCTCTTTTGACTTGCGCACATGCGGACGTTGGATCAGTGGCTGTTTTTTTATGTGTGTGGGCTTGGCTCTCCCAATCCCTTCATTCCCTGTGGATTCATACACTAGTAGTAGTTATATACTTGTCAATTATACTACAAAGATATCTTATCACACTTAATTCACTTTTGTGTCTTATGTCACAACATTCGTTTGAACCATGTTTGCAAAAAGTAGTACCAGTGGAATAAGTGACATCAGAGGTTTCCTTTTTCTACTTAGCGACTTCGTTCGGACCTGTTAAGACCGTAGCTCAAGGGTAGACGGATCTGAAGGGCTTGGCCTCAGCTCGTGTGCTGTGCCCCTTACCCGAGTACGTGCCCTTAATTTCAGAATGAAGTCCAGATGGAATCCGACGAAGTCCGAAGGACTTCCAGAGGCTGGCTACTCTAGTAGAGTGCTAGAGGACTTCCGGATGAGTGCGAGAAACTTCTGGAGGAGTATAGGAAACTCCGGAGGAGTTTCATCTGCTGTATCAGATCTGAAGGCAAGACTTCCCAAGACAAGTTCCCTAGATAGAAACACATAGAGGATAAGCTGCAAGGGACAGAGTCCAAAGCAGGATAGGATAGGAGGGGAAGGGCTACTATGGACAAGGTCCGGAGTAGAAACAAACAGAGGTAGACTACACTATGGTAGAGTTGGATAGACGGGGTTTAGACAGAAGTCTCGGAAAGACAGGAAGTGCCGGAAAGGCGAAACTTTGGTCTAGGGAATCAATCCCTAGACTTCAGAACAGAGACATAGGGGACAAATCCGAAGGTCCAGATTTCCGGCCTAGGGAATCCATCCCTAGGCCTTGATGGAAAGGCAGAACTCAGATGGACCAAAGTCCGAGACAAGAATGAGTGAAGTCTAATGTGGAAGAGCAAAGTCTAAGATGAGACAGAGCAAAGTCTAAGGCGATATTCGAACTAAGGAAACTTTACAGGAGTTGTACAGATCTTTATATACTGGAAGGGATCCGAGAGGATCGGTGAAGGATCTTCAACTCAGCTGAGGGTGCAGCTGATATAATTGTTGAAGGGAGGAAAATATGAGTGCGATATGTTCGTCCCTTAGGGGAAGCGGAGAAAGCAAATATCCACTGGTCAACTCTAGGGGGAATGCGCAAAGCGCGTGATAAGGCGAAAGCGCGGGAACAAAGGCGCTATAGGCGCGCGAAGCGCGGGATAGTCGCGCGTCGAAAAGCGGAACTGGGTGAAAGCGGTATGCGAGCGATAGTGAGATGTTAAGACGTGTACTGAGACGCTGATAAGACAACTGATGCGGATATGGCCACTAGAGCTAACTGCTACTAGGGCTTGCGATGATTTATTCAAAACATAATAAAAACTCGGAGATGGTGACTGTCTATGATGATGGTGGTCCGTGGTAATGTGTGTTGTGTAAAGTAAAAAATGTGTAATGAAAAATGTGTACCAAGTGAAAATAAACATGGTATGATGTTGAAATAAATGATAAATGGAGAAATGCATACCTGGGAACTTGGTTGGACATGGGAAAACACAGTGGGAAGTCAGGCGCCCTATAGCGCTTAGGCGCGGGAAAGTTCGCCTAAAGCGCGCGCAAGTCGCGCAAGTGTCGCCTATGTCGCGGAAGTGTCGCCTAAGTCGTGCGCGTCGCGCGAACATCGCGTTTATCGCGCAAGTGTCGTGTTACATGCATGATACTGTAGACTCGACCTATGTTGCAATATGTGCCATTGTGAGGCTACCCAGGATCGAGTCTCTACATCGGTAAGCCAAACACAAATGCTATGTACGAGCATGTGGAAACATATTAGTAAGTATGAACGGAACATAAGTAAATGAACTCGGATATGAACAGAGTACAAGGATCAATAAGCAAGACGGAAACAGAGATAACCGAAGTCCGGAGTCAAGGGGATTACCATAAGGAGATAGACGCTGATTTAAGGTTTGGGCCTTGGATATGAGTATAGGTCGGATCCGGAGGTCTAGAGATATCGGATGAAGCGTCTGGATATCGGATGAGTGGATCCAGAGATCTAGGTGAATACGAGACTAGGATATGGATCATGGATATAGACCGGTAGTCTAGGGAAGGTAGAGTCTGAGATGGAATGAGCTCGGATCCGATAGGACCAAGGGTGGATTGAAGCAGGCTTAGCTGCGGAGGTCCGAAGGTATTGATATATGGATGTACGAAGGTGTACGGATCCAAACCGATAGTGGACTGGAGGACTGAAGGCATGGATAAGGGTATGGAGTCATGGATAAGGGTATGGAGGTCCGGAAGGCGTGGGAACATCATCAGACAAAGGTCCAGAATACGGGATATGACACCAACTGTCACTTCCACTTTGACATTGTTTATACTGCAAAAGTGTTCAATTATCTCTATACAAAGGACCTGACACTGCTCATTTCGCTATTGAAGAAGACATCGACTCCGACGAACCTGTCCCCTTGAATGAAATTCGCAACTACCAAAAAGGAAGATATCTGTCAGCGCCAGAAGCAGCATGGCGTATTCTCAATTTCGAGGTTACTCGAAAGGAACTTTCAGTTACAAACCTACCAGTTCATCTGCCTGGCCCAAATATCCCTCAGTTTCGGCAGCAAGGAGGAGAAAGATCTTCCACCTCTCTTTTAAATCGTTACTTTCTACGTGCCAATGAACTCGCTGGACTTCGCTATGAAGAATACTATTTCAAACAATTTGTACTCTATCCATACTCTGTGGAAGATGAACTTACGCCTAATGATTATCCTGAGAAAGAAAGAGAGAGTGTCACTCGACGTAAAGCTTCGAGATGCGTCCATCTGGAGAAAGTAGCTCGAATCCAAACTGTATCAATCCAATCTGGAGAGCTTTTCTATCTTCGAGCTCTGCTTCTCCATCGAGCTGCAGTGTCTTTTGTTGACCTTCGGACAATTCAGAGGCAGACTTTTGATACTTTCCATGAAGCAGCATCTGACCTTGGATTATTCGACAATCAAAACGAAGGATATCTTGCGCTACGTGAAGCCATCGAATCCCATCGCACACCTGCTCAATTACGATTTCTATTCTCGCAAATCGTACTCGAAGGCTATGCAGCTAGGCCGTTATGGATGGAATTTCGAGAGATGCTATCCATTGACCACATTCAGCGACTTGGAAGCCAAATCCTTGGTTACGAATTCTGCCTACAAGTCATCGACGATCTACTGTCTCATTCTGGAAAACACCTCGCTGATTTTGGTTTTCCATCCCCTCCCAGACATTCCATCGAAGTCTACAATGAGCAGTGTTATCTGCAGAATAACCAGGCAGCATTCCAAGCCCAAAGCATCAACATGGGTGAACAACTGAATGCAGAGCAACGACACATTCTCAACTGCATTTCAGAGAGCATAGTCCAGCGCAGAAAGAAACAATTTCTTCTTCATTGAAGGGCGTCCAGGTCGAGGAAAAACATTTTTAGTCAAAGCACTCTCAACCATGTTACGTGCACAAGAACAAATTGTACTTATCGTCGCAAGCAGTGCTCTGTGCGCAACTGCATACGATCATGGATGCACAGCACATCACATGTTTGGCATCCCAGTAACCAACGATAACGTCAATTTACATAGCTCCATTCACCCTCATTCACCTCACGCAGACCTCATTCAAAATGCCACTGCAATCATCTGGGATGAACTGTCTGCCATGAACAGAG